AAGTGAAAAAAAAATCATATTTGTTGCAAATTATATAACTTTCAGAAGATTAGTGTCTGGAATGTGTAAAGAATTCCTAAAAGTCAGTAAGAAAAAGACAAAATTCCCCATTATAAAATGATCAATGTGTACATACAGATAATTCTCAGGAACTGAATAAAGTTTAATAAACATTTAAAAATAAGTTTTAGTTGAAGTTCAATAGTTATCTTGGAAATATAAGATAAAACAATAATACGATACTGCTCTTACCACAAACAACTCTAAATAGCCAAAACAATCCTGACAAAAGAGAAAAAGAAAAGGGAAGAATGGTGATATCACATTTCCAGACTTCAAACTATACTATAAAGCCATAATAATTAAAATAGCCTGGTACTGGAATATAAACAGACACACATATAAATGGACTAGAATTGGGAGAGCAGAAATAAACTCACACTATATGGACAGTTAATTTGTGACAAAAGATCCAAGAATGTACACTGGAGCAAGAAAACTTCTTCAATAAGTGGTGTTGGGAAAACTGAACAGCTGCAAAGGAAAGAATGGGACTAAGGGCCCTCTCTGGTGGTACAAGGGTTAAAGTGCGGGACTATGAAGCTAACTGCTGCCACTGCAGCGCAAGTTTAATCCCCAGCCAGGGAGGTGACCCACATGGCGCAGCAGACTTCTCCTAACCCGCCTGCTGCTCCCCTCAGCAGTGTGTTTCAGTCAGTCAACCTGTTCTGCTCCCCACTCTGTCTCTGGTGAATCCTCTCACCCCCAGCACCTCTGGCCTGTATCCCAGTTCTTGTATGCATAAATAAGTAAGTCTTTTTTAAAAAAATGAGATTAGACCACTATGTTATACCATACACAAAAATCAACTTGAAATGGATAGAAGACTTGGATGTAAGACCTGAAACCATAAATTGTATAGTAGAAAACATAGGCAAGGCACTTCACCACTCAAGTTTCAGTAGTGGCTTTGCAGATTGGTCTCCAACACACACACACACACACACACACACATATCAGTATACACACACACATATATATACACACACAACTGGGACTGCATCAAACTAAATATTTTCTGTGCCTCTAAAGCATAAACAAAATGATAAGTCACAAAACTGAGTGGAAGAAAATATTTGCACACCATACATCTAATAAGGGACTGATACTGAAGATCTACAAAGAACTCATAACTCAGCAAAAAGACAACAAATAACCCCATCAAAAATGGCAGAAGAGTTAAAATAGAGATATCTCCAGTGAAGACAAACTGAAGACCAATAGGCACAGGGAAAAAATGTTCATCCCTTATTAGGGAAATGCAAACCAAAGCCAAAATAAGATCTTACTTTTCTCCAGTGAGAATAACCCAAACAGAAAAGAACAGAAACAAGTGCTAACAAGGATGTGGAGAAAAGGGAACCCACTGTGGGTGGGAATGTAGACTGGTCCTATGGAAAACAATATAGAGGTTTCACAAAAGATTAAAATGGATTTGCCATTCAACCTAGTAATTTCACTTCTAGGTGTTCTACCTGTATAACACAAAAGCACTAATTCAGAAGGAAAGTTGCACAGCCATGTGTACTGGAGTGCTATTTACAATAGCCATCCTGTATGGAAACAGTTGAAGTACCCCCAAACAGAAGAGTGAATCAGGAAGATATGTATATACACTGTGGAATATTACTCAGCAATCAAAAATGATAAATTTATGGTAACATGGTTAGAGCTGGAGGGGATTATGGTAAATGAAATAAGCCAGAAGGGAGAAAGGCAAATATTGGATGTTATCACCTATAGGTGGTATCTAGAGAAATCAGACAAAGGGTCAGATAAAGATTGGCTTAAAAACTAACTCTTGTGGCCCTCCCTGGTGGCGCAGCGGGTAAAAGCACAGCACTGAGAAGCTAAAACCACTTCCTCATGAGTTCGATTCCCGCCTGCCTCGGAGGTGACCACATGGCGTGGCAGACCTCTCCTGACCCGCCCACTGCTCCCCTCAGCAGTGTACTTCGTAGAGCTGCCTGTTCTGCTCCCCACTCTGTCTCTGGTGAAGCTTCTCACCGCCTCTGAGCCTCTGGCCTGTACCCCAGCTCTGTATGCACAAATAAATAAATCTTTAAAAAAAAAAAACCTAACTCTTGCAAGCTGACTACAGAACTGAGATATCCAGAGGGGGTGAGCAAGAATGAAGTTGGAAGAGAGCATAGTGGACTGTGGTGGTGATTACAGGTGTTTTGGTGGTGAGTATGCTATATAACTATACCTAGGGAGCCATGCTATACTTTCAAAGCACCAATGACAATGTAAGCCAAAGTACTCCAAAAATAAATAAATAAAACCATTTCTTAAGTATCAGGTTGATGAACATTTAAAAGTATGAAATTATCAAGAGTCAGAAAGATGTGGAGTAATAGAGAATAAAGAGGAAAAAAAAAAAACCTGGAAAAAAATGTCCACTGAACAAGACAACAGATAATTTGTGGTATATTGTGCAGCCATTACAGGGAATGAACTGGTGCCAAATATTTCATATGGCTAAGTCTCAAAAATAATAGCGCAGAAAATAAAGTTGAAGACTGCTATGGGCATAGTAGCAGCCATAAAAATTTGAAAACAGGCAAATTACTTCAACTTGTTCAGCACTGTAGATACATGTAGCAAGAATATAAAAGGATGCATAGGGGTGTGAAATGCCAACTTACTGAGTAGGTTACCTATAAGGAGGCTTCAACTTTATCTGTGGCATGTTACTCTGTGAAAAAAAAAATTATCTTTAGCAAATATAACAAAGCATAAAGATTTTATAAAGCTGGTTGAGGTATCTCCATATTTCTCTGCAACTTTTAAAGACAATAGCCAAGAATTTGGAAAGATCCTGTAGTTGGAGGGAATTCCACAGGCAAAACTCATGGAAGTGTGGGCCTTGTTTGCTACCTGAACACACACACGCACAGCACTGAGATGTGCTGGAACATGGGGTATGCTCAAAGAGCTCACCGTGACAACAGCCCCCTTCTATCGAATGCCATCCACCGACTTTATGCTTTGACATGAATGCCGCTCTTTGCTCTTGTGAGAATCTTCGTTATCCTCACTTTACAGGAAAGGAAAGGGGGGCTGAGAGAAATAGAAACCCTGTCTGAGAGCAGAGTGGTTAGGGCCAGGGTCCATATTGCATCTAGGTAGTTCAAAGTTTGGAGCAGTGGAAATAAACAAGACGAGGTGAGACCAGTGGAGATACATTAAGAGAACCTAGAGTGGAAGTGCGCAGGGCCAGATGGGAGGGGCTGCATTCCTAGTGCCTGATAGCCTGAGAAGGGAGCTGGTAGCTGACCAGGATTGAGGAAAGGTTTTCCAGCGGTGTTTTCTGGGTCTTGAAGGAGAAGCAAACCTACAAATGCCAAGAACCCAGCTCTCCCTGCTCTACAAGTAACTGGTGTTTGGAGGACCCATTCCTTTGGACTGTGAGCGGAGCCTGACTGGAGGTGACCCACAGGTGACTTTGAATATAACCTCCAGTCTGAGAAAGTTTGTTCTCACCTTTATATATCCAGAGAAAGAGCCAACTCAAAGCTCGTCTTTAGAAATCATGACAGCATTTGTAATTGCTTGCCCTTTAATAATAAGAGCTAACACTTATTATGTGGAGGGCACTAGGCTAAGTCATCATGTGTTTTATTGCTTTTAATTCTCACACCTCTATGAGACAGGTGTCATTTATCCCTTTCCAGGGATGAGGACATCGAGGCTTAGAGAATTTTAGGTGTCTTATGCAATATCCTACACAGTCAGTAAGTGATGGAGCTGGGATTTGAAGCTGCAGTTGTCAACTCTCCAACCATATATTTCAACCACTGTTTCTCACAAGCACAGACATCCCATTAAAGCAACAGGGCTTTTATGGGTTGCAATTGGAAGATTTGCAAGAACATGATCCAAGCATAATAAACTAGAAACCAAGCTGACCATTACATCCACGAGCACCTGTCACATGCTATGTGCTCCATAAATGTTTGTAAAATGATGTGGCGTTTAGTTTCAGGAAGTGAAAAACCACCCCAGTGTCAAAATGACATACCTCGCCCATGTAGGAAGCAAGCAGAAGCTCCCTGGGGACATCCCCACCACAACCTGCAGGCTTGCACACACACACAGGGCCTGTCTGAATCAGAGGCCCGCCCCCACCCACACAGAGGGCCTGGTGCCTGCAGGGACTCCTCCCTCAACCTCTCACACCCTTGCCCTGCCCTGCTGCTCCTCTCCTGGGTACTGACCTCCTGAAAACAAGTTTTGAATGAATGGACTCTAGCAGTCTCCCAAATAGTCCACAGGTCAGAAATACACAAAATGAGAAAATAAAGGGAAAGAATTGAAAGAGTGCTAGTTTTCAACTATCCTTTTTCAAGCTCGTTTTTTATTGACATTTGTTTTTTCTGAATTTAATTTTTCTAATTTATTTTTAATTGAAGTAATAGTTGGGTAATATTTTATATATATACATACATATACATACATGCATACATGTATACGTACACACTTGATCCACTCATCTGTTGTACTGGGGCTTTTTGCTTGTTCCATAATTTAGTGATAGTAAATAAAGAGAGCAAGGTATGCTTTGCCCAGAAAAAGGATGACTTGGGCCATCACTTGAGTCACCCAATTTATTTTATTCACCAAATTCACAATCAGACCATGCACCCACTAAGTGCAGGAGACAGGCCCTTGGCTGGAGTTGGCTGTTTGGCTTGCACATTTTCTTTGCACCGAAAAGCCCCCAGCCCCTGACCAGGTGGAGTGCACAGGTGAGTCACATAAGCCCTGCCCCAGCAGCACAAGAGGCCAGTGGCTGCCAGACCTATAAGCAAACTGTCATAACTTGCGGTGAGAGAGGAGATGGAAAAGGTGAGGTCAAGGGGGAGGAAGGGAGAGGAAGACTGCAGCAGCCAGTCTAGGGTCTCCCTAGAGTTACAGCTGCCAATACTCTGGTCACGTTAGTTGCAAGGTTTTCCCACTGACAGAAAGCAAGAGCTCGCTCTGATTAATTTTTTAAATTGCCTGCAGAGCGCAACCATCACAAACACAATGAATCCGGTTATTATGGCCTGAATGGTTAAAAAGAGAAAATAAAGACCCCAGAACAGGCTGTGGTCTTCGCGTTGGCCCTTGGCGACCAACTGGGCCCAGGCCCAGGATTCTGAGCTGTTGGGCACAGAGGCGAGGAGGAGGGGGGTGGTGGGGAGGGCCGGTTGGCTTGGGGCTTTGGGGGAAATGTTGGCAGGGTGAGGAGGCGGCCTCCGGGTGCCCAGACACCCCGGGTCACGGTCCGGTAGGGCCCAGAGCTGCAGACCCGCGCGCTGCGGGGGGCTGTAGCACTGCGGAGGTTCGGTTCGGCCCACCAGGCCGCGGTGCTGCCTCAGCCAGGTCAAGAATGGCCACAGGTCGCAGTCGCAGCGCCAGGGATTGTGCCCCAGCAGGACCTCCGCCAGCCGGGGCAGAGTCCCGAACACGTCTCCCGGCAGGGTCTCCAGCTGGTTGTGGTCGAGCCGCACCGCTTCCAGGCGGCTGAGGTTGCGGAAGAGCGCGCGCGGTAGGGTCCGCAGCCTGTTGTGGCGCAGCGAAACCTGGCGCAGGCTGCCGAGGCCGCGCAGCAAACCGTCGGGGAGGGAGGTCAGGTTGTTGGAGTGCAGGGCCAGCAGCCGGAGCTCGCCCAGGCCGCTGAAGGCGCCTGCTGGCAGCGCGCTCAGACCCGGGCTCGCCGTCACCCCTAAAGCCCGCAGGCAGCTCAGGTTGCGGAAGGCGGCGGCCGGCAGGGCGCGCAGCTGGGTAGCGTTGAGCCACAGCTCCTGCAGGCCCCGCATCTCCCCGAAGAGCACCTCCGGGAGCTCTTTGAGCGGGTTCTCGAACAGGGTCAGGAGAGTCAAATTGTGCGAATGAATAAAGAGTGCGGAGGGCAGAAACTCGAGGCGGTTTCTGGAAAGAGTCAGATTTCTCAGATTTCGGAGCGGGTCGAAGGCACCGGGGGCGACGGAGCGAATGTGATTTCTGTGGAGCTGCAGCTCCACGAGGGCGCGCAGGCTACGGAGCAGCCCAGAATCCAGAGAGACAAGCTGGTTCGAGTGGAGCAAAAGTTTCTCAAGCTTGGCCTGTGCGCCAAGCAATCCCTGGGGCAGGTGGGTCAAGTTGTTTTCCGATAAATCCAACAATTTCAGGTTCTTCAGATTTGCAAAGAGGCTAACGGGAAGGAAAGCGAGTTGATTCTGGTTCAAAAAAAGCTCCTGCAGGTTAACCAGTTTCTGAAACATGTTTGGATCAATGTCCGTTAGCTCATTTCGGTCCAAGAACAACTGTTCCAGGAGCACCAGCTTATCCAACAGCGCACCCGGAAGATGAGTTATTCTGTCGCGCGATAACCTCAAGGTTTTTAGTTTTAGGAGGTCATTGAAGGTGCCGGGGGCAATGGCGGAAATGGGGCTGTCTGACAGTATCAGGCGTTGCAGGACGTTCATGCCGCTGAAGCTGTAGTTCTGCAAGGCGCCGGGGCCCATTGCGTACAGGAGGATGTGCGTGAGGTTGGAGGGCAGACCAAGCGAAGCGATGCGCGCCACGCTGCCTCCGGAGCACTGCGCTGCGTCCCGGTAGACACACCTGCAGGTCGGCGGGCAGGGCAAGTGTTGGGCTTGCAGCAGTCCCAGCACCGCGCACAGCAGCGCGCTCCTGAGCATGACCGCGCACAGCAGCGCGCTCCTGAGGGTGACAAGCGGGAGGCCTGTGGGCAATACACAAAAGCAAGTGCTCATATTCGCCCCTGTAACCCTGCGGAAGCGTCTCCTGATTGTCTCTCTCCGTGTGAGCGACTTATCTGCTTGAAAGTGCAGATTTTTCTGGGTGGTGAAGGCATTCATTCTACACTTCCAGGACTCATTCTTTGGACACAATGATTTTCTGCTCTGTGTAAAAGCATTGACATTAAAGCACTTTCAGGTTACCAGTACACTCGCTCAGAGTGAATCACTCCCACATTCCAGCCCACAGCATCACAGAGCAGTGTCCGCTGGGGAGGCAGCTCAGCTCTTGACGCTGGAAATGATCCAGGAGAGGCTATGACCCACTGTCAAGAAGGTAGAGGCCAAATGGGTTCTAACACCAGCAACCTCAGCCTAATATCTGTATCACAATCGTGGTGTATCCACAGTAGCCCCTTACTCTAAAATAATGAACACCTCCTAATAGTGAATAAGCTCAGCTAACAGTTGCATTGAGAAAGCAGGTAAGAATACCTACCACTTAGTGCCACGCATTGTTCTTAGCATTTTATTTAAATGAACCATTAATTTGCATAATAACTGAATGAGGATGGTAATATTGTTATCATCAATTAAGGATGAAGAAACTAAGGCCCAGAAAGATTAAGTAACTTAAACAGGGTCACACAGTTAGAATTTGAGAGTAGTATTTCAGTCATAAATACAGAGCCATCATTTCAAAGATGCTTAATTAAAAATTAATACTTGTGGCATTACCTGTGAAATATGCATAGTAAATGCTCATCCACCAAAACAGTTTCCCAAGTGGAATTTTACAAAAATCATTTCTTGTACTAAATTTTAGTTTTTATACACGCACAGAAAAGCAAGTGCTCCTTTTGCTCATGCTAATTTTTAAAATATTTGACCTTACCTGAAATGGTGCAGTTCCCCAAAGCAAATGAGTGAGAGGCTTACAGCTGCTTTGCCTGTGCTTCGCACTTTACAAAGGAAAAGGGAGGTATTCTTGCATCCGGAGGATAAAGACTTCACCAGAATAAAAGTCATTCATGGACAGGGCCCTATCTCAGAGGGCATGGTCTGGTTTTCTATGACAAATATCTTCAAACTGAAAGAGACCATATATAACTCAAATTCTAGTGTCAAAGCCGACAAGAGCAGGAGGGAATTTTCTCCATAAATGGTCCAGTGACTCCAATGCTAGAAAAATATAGTGCTGCAGCTGGGTCATGGCAGCAGCCACACCCTAGAGGCCCCACTTCCTTTGGTTTTCCTTTTCTACCATATTGCCCCAGTTTTCTCCCCAGTCCTCCCGCTCCCCTTTTTAGGAATATGATTAAGAAGGTTCTTGAAAGAGCACGGCTGGGTTGGTGTTCACATGTCTGCTTTACTTGGGAATGTCAAACTGCTTTCCAAAATAGCTGTACAATATAGGTGTGTGACAGTCCAGGTGGGCTTCATTGTTCTGCCCACACTTGGAACTGATTTTTTGCCATTCATATGAAATAATTACCTGTTTTCAATTCCCATTTAAAGCTTGAACAATCTTTTCATATGTTAAAAAAAAGATTTATTTATTTATTTATACAGAACTGGGGTACAGGCCAGAGGGTGCAGGGAGTAAGAGGATTCACCAGAGACAGAGTGGGGAGCAGAGCAGGCAGATCGAGGAAGTACGTTGCTGAGGGGAGCAGCGGGCAGGTCAGGAGAGGTCTGCCTCGCCAGGTGGGTCACCCCCTGGGTGGGGATGGAACTCTGTGCTGCAGTGTCTGCATGGCTTCATAGCACTGTGCTTCAAACCATTGCGCCACCAGGGAGGGCCCTCTTTTCGTATTTTTTTATGGCCATTTGTGCTTCAACCTCTGAGATATTTCCTTTTGCCCATTTTCTACTCGCAAAATGTGCCCAAGTCTTTTAAAGCAGGATTCTAGGCATTCTGTATATATCCTGATACAAATCATTTAGCAGTTACAGGTGTTAAGTTACAACTATCTTCAACTGGTTCATGGCTTGCCTTTTCAGCTTTTTTGTGATTTTTTTTATCTGCATATAAGTCTTCAGATAGATGAAGTTGGCAATCACTTTTTATGATTTGTACTTTTTGTCTATTAAAATAAGCTCTCCTTTCCTGTTAGAAAATGCCCTTACCCTAAAATGCCCTATTTCCGATCATTTTAAGACTTTGCATTCAGAATGTCTTTAATCTTCCTTTCATTTTCGTGTATGAACAGTTCAGTTTTATTTTTTCCAGTTAACCAGATGTCCTAGTCAGAGTTACAAGTTCAGCCTTTCCATGGACCAACATCCCTTGGATCTGTGGATCTGTTTCTGAACTAATAATGTGTCCATCAAACCACACTAAATTCTTTTTAATATTTGAAGTCCGAACATAGGTAGTGTTTTGTAAAGGGTCAAGAAATTCTCTCAGAATGCATCCGTAGAAATGTATTTTGAGCAAACTTTTGGGAAGAAAACAGTAGTAGTATAAGCGAATTTAAAATGGATATATCCTTTGTCCAGCAGTTCTACTAAAAGCTCACCGTGTGCAGAGATACTTACTGCAGGATTGTTTGTAGAAGAAACAGGAAAAGAAAAAAACCTAAGCCCATCAATGGGAAACTAGTTGTTTAAATTATGGTACATCCATGCAATGGGATGCTGTGTAGATTTTAAATATAAAGTGAAGCCACAAATGCTAGCATCTTGCTAAGATATATTGAGTGAAATAAGAGACAGCATAACATCTAAAACCGTATAATTTTTTTAAAAACATACAGCTGTAGATTAAAAAATACATTATCATTCATATATATACACATGATTCATATATATATACATGATACACCTTTTGGGGCAAAACTAGAAACAGACTTCCTTGTATCTGTGAGGAAGTCAGTGACTGAGAGACTAAGAAGTGCCATGGAATAATCAGTGAGGGTCTCAAATTCTGGCGAAGCTTCTTTAGCTTATTTTCCCAGCCAGAGTGCCAATGAGGGGAGGGCATTCTAATTCCCATGAAGGGAAATCTGGGTACAAAAGCTACGGGCAGTGAAAGAAGAGAATTCATCCACTGAACAACTCAATATGGTATTAATAAATATTTTGAGCAATGATGTTAATGGCTCTAGTGTTTCAACTCCTTTGGATTTTGGACCCATGAAAAGGTCAGAAATCTCTATGAAGTCACAGAACCCTTGCCTATGGGGTTTGGTCATTTAAAAGCAGGTGTTAGCCTGGGTGAAATATGCTTCTCTGTGGGGGGAAACTAAGAGACCTGAATAACCACAATTACAAATTTGAAGAGGCAGCCTTACTCAAATGCCTATAATCAGAATCTTCCCTGCCAGGAAACACTTCCTACCAAGGTACAAAGGTCCTATACATTCCTGCCTTCTCTAGAATCTCTGACCACTAGTTACTTCTCTGGTTTCTATTTGGCATGCTCTTTTCTATGCTCATGGATATCAATTCACTTCAGACTTACTGCTTCTTACATAATAGCTCTGGGCTTGATTAACCACCTATTAATAGATTATTGCCTTGTCTTGTATCTTACCACTCCTCTCAAATACTTAATATTTGGCTCTGTAGTGTATCTCATTGGTTTCCACAGGATGGGCATGGACATGACATGATATAGGATACGTAACATTTCAAAACTCCATAGTTAAAAAAAAAAAAAGGAAACACAAAACTATTAAGCAGGAAATGAGGGCAGTATTTAAGTAATTAAAAAACGAATGCATAAAGACACAGAAAAATGTTATTTCATTCATTTAAATTTTTATTTCGAATAGTTTCAATCAAAAAGATATCATAAGGTTATTTACAGTGCTAAATGTACAATTATGAATGTATGCCTTTTTGACATTAGGGTACCATTCTTGAGCAGCAATACAATTTTAAAAATATAAAGATGCAGTATCATTTCTGATATAAAGTTACTTAAAAAAAATCCAAAGTCTTAAGGAATTCACAAATCATAACAGGAAGTAACTTTTATTAATTTCATGTGCACATAATTACCAAATTTTAATACATTAAAAATGTGTAAATGCCCACATACTGTACAAAAATTAACACCCGACATTTTTTAAAAGTCCCCAACTACCTCCCGCCAAAAATATACAAAAACCTATTATCAGATATGTCAAAACTGCATGCAAAAAATCTTAAATTTCTGTTTCCTAAAGCTTGAATTTTTGCTCTTCTCGGGATAGTGTTCCTAATAGCCATTTTGGGAAAAGAATACTTAAACAATGATATATTTCATGCCTTCAAAACTGTGCAGTATTTTCATAAACAAGGGGAACAAAATAAATAGAGTAAAAAACTGCAACAGTTTTATTTAAACGCAAGTGCAGTTTTGGAAAGCTTTTGAATGTAAGATTATAAAGCTAATATAAAAATTATTTTGTTGTTGGCTTAGCCACTTTTTATTCAAGCATTATTTGCAGCATTGCTTTACAGCAGTTGGTGCTAGAAGATATAAAACATATAGTTACCACTATTTATATTTGAGGGAGGAAAAAAACCTTTAAACAACCCTGAGGGAGACACACATTAAAAATCTTGTTATTTATTTAAAAAGTTAAAAAGTTACATATCATTATTTAACAATTACTTTCCCAGACATTTCTGTCCTTTAAGTATATGCATAAATAAAATTTTAATTGGCAATATTAATCTTAATACATCAAAATAATATATGTACATATTTTTAAATTTTAGATATGTATACACTCAAATAATTTAATGTGAAATTCGGAATCAAAATTACTGTGTAATGGTAACTTACAGAGAGGACTCAGTCTATCTATGGCACCAAGCAGGACCCACACCTGGATTCACAAACATTCTTCAAATAACATTCTGGAAACCATCTATTACAACTTGAACAGCCCCTCAACTTTGTTCACATCTAATTTCCTATAAATGCTTTCTCACCTATCTAAAAA